TGGAAGAACTTATTTTGCTTTTGCTTGTCAGTTAAGAGTATGCCCAGGTAGTTGATGCAAATATCTTGTAGAATCCTGTTAACTAATCTAAAGTAATGAGGCTTGGTTGGACCATTGCCTAATACTTGGCTTATTGTTCATGCATATTGATGAAAATGTTGGTTAGGTCATTGTCCACTGTTTCTCTGCAAAACAATGAATTTATTTCATAAAGAACAATAAGTTAAATTTTTTAGTGTATTTCCAGATGTTGTTTTGCTCAGAAAGTAGGAAAGTAAAGATAAATCCTTAAAAAAGGGTTCTTTATCTTGTCGGGGTTTTTTTGTTTGTGTTGTTTTGGGTTTGGTTTGGTTTTGGTTTTATTTTGGTGTTTTTTTTGTTTTTTTGGTTTTTTTTGTTTGGCTTTTTGGGGGAGTTGTTTGTTTGGTACAAGCTTAAAATAGAAAATTTGGAAATACTGAAAATAACTGTGAAATATTTTGAGGATGTATGTTAAGTTATTTAAGGGGATACTAAAATGTTAATGGTACATTAAAGTAGTTCTGAATACTATGGTATTTCACATGAAATGATTTTGAGGTATATGAGTTTGATTACACTTCTGATCAACTGCAGACTAGTTTCAACTCTGACACTAATCCTGTAGTCTTATCAACAAAATAGTAAATAAGTGATCTTTCCAAACTGTCATGCCTTTTCTAAACTTTTCCTTTAGCTTTCTAAGTACTTACCATTTATTTTTGAACACTATATATAATCTCTTTAAAAGTTAAGAGTACAGATACTTTATTACCAATATTTCTCTGCTTTTGTTAGAGGTGCCGTCAGGCAAAAAAACCCCTTAAGACCAAAACAGTTCAGAAGCCCTGTTTGTGTTTAGACTTCAGCTCTGTTACGTTACTTATTTCAAAGACTAGGTGATTTCTTTTTGGCTAAATTTTCGTTTTGATTAATGACACTCTTTGAATATCTGAGGTTTTGTATAGTAAATTTGCTGGTAATTAAGAATAACATTTTGGTTTCCTTAGCAAATAATTACTTGGTATTTCCATTTCAACCAGATTTCTGTTGGTTGGAGTAAAGGCTGGGTACATCCTTTTCTTAGGGGTTTTCTGAGGCTTTTTTTTTTAGGGAGTGGGATGTGTGTGTTCAGTTTTTTGTGTTTTCTGTTAAACTCTGGGCTATTTGTTTATATCTTTTTTATGTTGGGTTTTTTTGTTTGCTTTTTTTTTGTTTGATTGGTTTGGTTTTGGTGATTTTTTTTTTTTGTTTCTTTTGGTGGGTTTTTTTGTTTGTTTTAATTGGAAACCTTTTTAACCTGGTATGTGATACAGAATTTCACCACTCCCACCCCTAGGCTTGGTTTAAATGCAAATTTGTTAGTTTTCCTTTCAGATCTAGCAGCTTATTCAACACAGCTGAAAAACAATTGAATTCTGTCATTCAGTTGTTGAATCGATAGCCCTGTGATGGGAGAGGAGATTATTCTATCAAGAGGAATAGATCCAAGGAAGTCAAAACCTCTAAACTGCAGATTTCTCTGTTGTATTTCAGATGAAGGACTTTCTCTTTGGATTATCTGATCTCATCTGCTTACAGAGATGCCATCTCTCAATGATTGTGTGGCTCCTGAGCATGGCAATGTCTAGAACTGTGTGCATAACAGAAGGATGTTTTATACAGCCTTTTGGGATTTCCAAAAGACATGAAATAAATTTCTTTTACCAAAGATCCTGAAAGCAACTAAGTGAATGATGTGTCCCCTTCTGAACAATGAACTAATTGGAAGATGAGAAACAAGGATTCAATATTTGTAGTAAATGGAGTTCACTGGGAAAGCCCTGAAGGAGTTTGTGCTACCTGATGTCTGAAAGGCAGTGGCAAAGTTTTCTGGCTCCTTAAGGGCTAGCTGAGAAGGGAGGCAGAAGGACCTTTCAAGGTGATGCATCAGGAAATACTATAAACTTTGTAGAGAGTGGTAGACCCTGGGCTGACAGTTTCTTACAAAGATGAGATCTTTACACTTTTGCAGAACACTGCTTTGATAATGCTCTCTTGATTTCTTACTGAGAATTGAGTGTCAAGCCAAACTTCAGACATGTTTCAGAACAAAGAATAGAAATTAAAACACTGTGTAAAAATCCACATACGTCCACAAACAGTGAGTTTAATTTTGCCTCTTACATCAGAGGAAAGTTAAAATACAAATGGAAGCAAAATAGTGAAGGATGTTAATAGTGGTCAAACACATGGAATTGCTTCTTTGTAAAGAAAGAATGATTCTTCAACCTGAAGAAGAAAAAGAGGAGGTATGATGGAGGTCTGTGTAGTCATCAGCAGTATAAGAAAAAGGTAGAGAGCAGAATGACAAGAAATCAATTACTCCAAGAACTGAAAAATCATCTAATCTGATTCGAATTAAATATAATGCTGATTTAAGCTGTGAAATGCCATAGCAGAGGACACAGGATGCTAAACTCTTATGGTTTCAAAAATCTGAGCGAACTAGCAAATAATATTCAGTTAAGAACTAGTAAACGTAAAGGCATCGTCTCTGACTGAAGAAGTCCCTGAGTTAACTTCCTTGTGCACTTGCTCTCAGCTGATGTGTCATAAGATAGATGGATTCAGATTCTGCTCTGATAGTTTGACAGTCTTTATCTTGATGGCCTAAAAAACAATGCAGAATACTTCATCACTAGCTAAAGTTCATGTTCTCGCTAAATTATTAATCGTTCTTTGGAAGTTTGTTTACCTTTTGAACAGATGAGGGATATGACTTCTTTTGGACATGGGTAGATAGCCTTAATTGACATACTTGCCGTGGTACATCTCATCTTGTGATCATCTGCCTTTCTGCCTCCAATTTTTTTGCTGAATCCTCAAATTGAAGTTGCCAGATTTTTTACATTTCAAGCTGAAGAGGATGGATAGGTTTGCTGATGAATGTGTGCTCCCTGTTCCAAGTTTTGTTCTGGTTGTACAGTAGCAAAACTAAAGTTTCGCTCTATTTTTCAGCATATAGTTGAAAGTAACTGTAATGACTGTCTGCTTTTAGTGTTTTAACTGTTGAAGGAGGGATCATTTTTACTGTATTTTGACCTTATTTACAGTAAATGCTTATATATAATTAAGTCAGATGTACACCTACTGAACTAAAATACTTAGTGCAAGAATGGGACAAGATGGTGTGTTTACTTGAAGACTACTTGCCAAAAATATAAAACGTTCTAAATTTTTTTTAGTTTCATGTTGTTGATTTTCGTGAATACCTCCTAGTAGATATTTTCACAACATATGTCAATAAATAAGGTTTCGGAAGTTGTATCTCCTATGAATGAGAAATTTGCAGCTTGCATTTCCTTCTTCTAATTTGTCCTTTAATTATTTTACTGTTGGTAGTCTGAGGGTAGCACTTGCGTGTCTGTCTTGGGAGTCTAGAAGTTGCATATTGAAGGTTGATTGGATTGATGTAACACACTGTACAAATTAAATAATAGTTTAAGGGATTTTTGCCACCCTGCAGTTAACTGTAGTTATTCCTGAACACTAATCTTCAGCAGTTTTTCTGGATCCTCAGTGTCTCTTCTAATTATAATTTGAGAGTAAAATGTTGCTTATGGAATTATGCTTTCAATAACTGTTTCTGTTTTGTACACACAGTCATAATGATGGCTTGGGGTTCTTTCTGCTCTAAACTTATTTGGAAATACAGATAATGAAATATCTGCAGCTACTTTAGTATTCTAAGCAGTTGCCTCAAATGTTTACTTTGTGTTCCTGTTTAACCATTTCTGGTTAGTTAGCTTTTGTTACAAGTAGTCAGTTGTCTGTCCTAAGTTATTGCTGTCAGACATCAGGAAAGGAGCTTGCTTTGATGTTATCAGTATTTAGGAAATCTGTTTCAGCTTCGTCTTTTGAAACTCTTGTATCTATTTTTAAGTACGTACGTATTAAGCCAACTTACTGTATGCCATTAAGCAGTCAATAGAGATGTGTGTAGTACCTTATATGTGGTAGATTTACTCAGACTGCTACTAGATCTTTTAGGCAGTTTCTGTTCCAGGTTGTTGGAGATCCCATAAAGAAAGTGTCGTGCTATATTTCTGATCATTTAATTATTTTGCCTTGGTCAGCATGTGAGGTATGATCTAGGGTCTTTGTAGCCCTGTGATCAGACCAGTAGGATTTACAAGCTCCTTACATGCTGTTCCCGGTCAGGGAAAAACTCCCCCGGGCAGATGGAGCTCGTCAGCCCTGTAAGGCCATCCATCTAAGAGAAGGTCACTCTAAACAAACCTACGTCCTGAGGACCTCGCTGCCACCGTCCGAGCTTCGCTCGGCCCCGGCAGATGAACCTCAGGATTAAAGGGTGGGCTCAGTTCAGTGCATACTGTGTCTCACCTAAAAAATCCACTGTGCAGGCTCGAAGGGTAATGACCTTTCCCAAATCTTCGTTCGTGAAGACTGGCCATACTACTATACGTGCTGTACCTAGTTTACGTGTCGCTGAGTGAATTATGGGTAGAGCAGATTTGTGCTTTACATGGATCAGCTCATGTGATAAGGCCCTTACATTCGTCCAGGATATCTCTGAAAGTCTTGCTGAGTGTCTCGCTTGGTCATGGTCATGCTCTTGCTAAGATCCTCTAAAACAGAGACCTCTGCCAGAATTAGTATTTAATGTGGAAGTTCTCTGGTTTTATAAGGCTGATGGACAGTGAGCGTATTTCATACTGAAATCCGAGGGTTTTAAGGGTGCTTTGAAATCTGAACCGTTTCATTTGCAGGACATTTACTTCAGAAAACACTTAGTAAGCTGTTAGTGCCATTGGACTTGCACAGCTAAAATTAGACAAGTATGAAAAGACCAGTTGCTTCAAGTGGTATTCAGTGGAAGTGACTTGTGTGTTGAGGAAATACAGCTGGTAATGTGTGCTTCATTTGTTGTTTGTATGCCTAAACTGAGTGCCTTTCTTTTTTTTTTTTTTCCTTTTTAGCAGCACAGTGGAATGAAGTTTTCCATGAAAGGAAATCATAACCAAGGCAACAGCTACAGCCCCGTCAGCAGTGGAGGCATGAGGCAACCAGTTGGTAACCGAGGACACCACCAATACAATCGTAATATATGGAGAAGAAAAAAACACAGAGACAGTTTGCCTATTAGTCTGAGCAGATAATGGCAGATGCCAAAATGACCTTCCCTGTTCAGACAAACTGAGTGAGTGCCACTCGACTTGGGGGATGGAGACCAGCGTCCAGCACATCGTTTTATTGGTGTTGCCAAATATCTGCAGCTGACTTCTTTGCATGTTTCTTTGTGTGGTGGTTCAATCCATCTTCAAGAAGTAGTTGTGCTTATCTGTGAAGCCTTATAAATGTGGAAGTTTGTTTTCTGCCTTCCCACAGTGGTTCATTCAGTGCCGAAGCAGCTCTGACAATAGAACTGCAAGGACATTTACAAATGCTGTAGCTTTTTTGCTGTGGCTACATCTGTTCCTTTGTGGGTTCTGTTTTCTTTTATTTTGGAAGTGAAGGAAACTTCAGCCCCTTGGAATTTTTTTTTTTTTTATTGCAGCAAATCAAGCTGGGAATTCATAAAAGTAAATTTGCTGCTCTCCTGTTTTTCTTTCAAAGTTCAGAATTTTTTGCTCTGTAACTATTGGAAGTATGATTTGTGCAATAACTTGGAATTTTTAACTTAATTTCATATTGTCACATAAGTTATATTTAAGGGGAAGAGGTTTTTTAAGTTACAGATCCTTTCCCAGGTTGCATTATCTAAGTTGGGTTCATAGTTTTGGCAGGTTGTCTGAGCAGTGTTACAAACATGACATTTGGTAATATTTGAGGCTTCTTGATTCACAATGAAAGTGCGATTTGGCTTACAGTTTTAAGAAGGTATTAAGCTCCAAAGCATTTTGACCCTGTGTTTTTTAGCTCATTGTCTGGCCTCTATCAGTTGTCTTGCTCTGACCAATGAGTTTTAATTTTATTCCTTTAAATAGACAACAAATCCAGCATTTGTAGTACCAGAAATAAAACTTGTGAGAGGGATGGGAAAAAGGTTGGTTCAAGTCCTGATATGAAACTAAAAAGCTGTGAACTACACGCTTTGATGAATTTTCATAACGTAACCTGTTAATGTTTGGGTTGAAACAACATTATTAAACAGAGATACCCGGCTTAAGGAATGTGGAGAAAGGAAATATGTTGATTCCATTAAGGAATCTGTATGCTGATGCATTAGTTCTGTTAAGAGCAAATATATAAAAAGTACTTCAGCTGCTCTAAGCATTACAAGAAGTATCTTTTAATGTGTTGCAGGAGAGCACAGCCCAGTGTTGTACACAGGATGAGTGGCTGGCACTTAACTTACAGATGCATACAGGTATACTATGCAAGTGTGTATTGCCATGACGAACACTGTCTTTAACTTTTTAAAAATGTACATCCTGCCTAACCCTGAGTTTTTAAAGCACCACAGTTGTCCTGGGAGTAGGTCACATCTCATGCCCTCTGACTTCCCTTTTTTTTAGTGAGAGTTCTTAAGCTATACAGAAAACTACAGATAAGTTATGTAAGTCCACTAGCAGAGGAAGCTGAAGAATCCTGTTAACGGGACATCTATATCTGTACGCAGTATAGAAGGTTTTAAAACTGATATCTGAATATTGAAATGAGGTGTCAAGCATGAAGCTTTTTAATATGCTGTATGCCTTTGAAGCAGTAGTTCATGTTATTACTGAATCTGTTGAACACAAGCAGGTCCTTGAGGGGAGAGAGGGCAACATTCCAAAGTAGAGTAGTGCATATCTGTTTGCAAAAAGTTTGTCTTAATGCTCCAGACTCATCACAATTAAAAAAATAAAAAAGTTCTAAAAATTGTGAGCTGATTCATAAATAATATCTAAGGGCTGTTACATGAGCCTGTACTGCTTAGTCTTCACGCACTAGCAATATTGACCATAACTACATTAAAGAGCCTTCAGAGGCTTTAGTTGGTGTCTTATACTAGCATCCATTTTTAAAGCAAAACTCATTTGAAAAGTGGTATCATGTAACACTTCAGTCATGGTGAACCAAATAAATTGGCCTGGCTATCACTGTGGTTATGTGCTACAGGTTTAAAAAATAATGTTTAAATTTTTTGTGTGGACAACTATGTGGAAGCTAAAATTGACATATTTTTATGTAAAGTTTTCTATTCTTTGATTTTTAATAAACTTTGGAGACCAGTCACTCTTCTGTACATTTTTTTTTTTTTAAATTTCATGATGAAGTAATACTTGACCATATCCCATTCCTTGATGTACACTTTGATCATCTACTTCAAAATTGTTCATGCTGAACACCTTCAGAATGAGCTTGGATACCCTTAAACAAGCAAAGGAGCTAGAGGTAGTTACCAACAATATTCTTAAGAGGAGATCAACTGACTAATGCTTTGAGAGACCTTGACTTTCCATATAACTGTTAATCTCTTTCTGTAGTTTCTATATTACTTTCAAAATATTTGTCTGGTTTTCAGCCTCATCAAAGATTGGTGGTTTTTTGTTGGTTTTTTTTTTTTTTTTGCGTTCTGTTAACCCTCTGAGAGGACTCTGAAACATCAGTACTGACTCTAATTGAAAATTTTAGAAAATGAGTCTTTGGAAGGAACTTGTATAAATCTGTGAACTCTGAGAAAGGGAACTGAACTGTTTTTAATAGACAGTGATGTAGGGTTAGGAATTACGAATTGGAGACGTACTTGGTAAGTCTTAATGAGTATCTGCTGGAGAAAAGTAGAAAAGTGGTGGGACGGGAAAGTAAGAACTCAGTAGTAGCTGGGATAATAAGAATTTTTTCTGTCAACATCAGTTTGCCAGTGGGACATGGCTGACAGAGGGATATATAATCTCTTCAGACACAAAGATTAAGTGCAGCAGCATTGGTCTTGTCATTTCTGTTTCCCTGGGCTTCTCTTCCCTTTTTCTGTCCAGATAATGATTTTGCTTTTTCTTGCTACAGATTCTGGCAAACTATTTATCCTTATTAGTAGTCTGCTTTTAATGCATTAGGTCCTTTGAACCCTCATGCTGTGATAATAATCCGAGATACCCACCTGATCTGTTTTCAAGCCTTACTGACTATTTTGTACACTGTTCATAGGCAAAACTAACCACTAGATGTGGAAGGAAGAGACTGCAAATTGAATGGAGGAACCGGGGAGTCTGTCATAGAAAGAGCTCAGTTGTGATCTATCCCTGTTTACAAGAGATGTCAGTGCTGGTGTTGCATTGGACTTTGCACAGGATGGAGTTACCTGCACTGAGGCAGGGTAAGAATACAGAAAGGTGACTACTGGTACAGTGCTGCTGGTTCAGCAGTGGTTATTTCCATGGAAATGGCCTCCGGAGAATGGGCATACTCAACAGTCTCTCAAAGAGTAGAGTTGGAATACAGCATGCCTTCAAGCAGTGTGACCTCTTTATCATTTGTAGGTAAAAAGAAAAGTTTAAATTGTGAGGTAACTCAGTGTATACGTGTGGGGAAGTGAATGTATCAATTTCTGAGCTCTCAAGGACAAGAAGCCTTCTACTTGCTGGCTACTGTCAGTATAGT